ACCACTCGCCCTGAGACTATTCAAATGAAACCAAACATGACTGTAAATCTTATTTGCATTCATATAGAACATTATACTATTGACCATTCTGAGTGAATCAAGTGGAGGGAGGATGGGTAAGGGGAAGGAAGAAGATGAAAAGGAACTGATGCATATGTGAGCGAGGCGTTTCCTGCACCACCACTCTGTGGGGTGTCTCGAAGATGCCCGTGTAAGTTTGTATTGTCTGTTTCTCAGAAGATCAAAGTATCTGAGTTTCTTTTATCCTTACAAAAGGTACTAACCTATTTCTCCCAAATCCTTCTGTGCTCACAACCGCTGTCATATAAAAATTACGAAAAGATTACAATTATTTATTATGACTGCATGCTACATTATTTTCTCCTTTGTGTGTTCCTCTTCACCATCTCTGGCTTCTGTCAACGGCCATTTACAGTTGGTTTATTTGTCCAGTTAAAGAATTAGTTAGAAGTGTATCCAGTTAACAAGGATGTCCTCTCAATTCACAGCGCTATGTACATTGCTTAGCCACATGTACCAGGCCGGTTTTTTAAAGTATGGATGAGATTGTGGCTGTCAAATGCGGCTTTACGGAGCTCAACGGCTCTGAACGGCTCTAGCCCAAGCTGTGATATAAACGAACGCTATTGGCTATTTTAAAAAGGGGCGGGGCTGCTTGATATGTCCCGCCCTGTCTTCCTATTTCAGTTAAAATGACGTCAACACATAGAGTAACGCTGCGTGTTTCTAAGCATTTCAGGGGACCTTTAAAAATTCATACCCTTTGTGTAATTCAAACTGGTTTACCATTTGAACCGGTATATTGTCCAGCACAAGTGGTGTTTTGTTTTGTTTTTAACCCATTTCACTCAAAACAGAAAGACATTGCAAGCTTACTCATGTAAATTCTTTTTTACTTACTTTTTAACTTAGTCTTAGATAATTAATATAGATTGTACAGAGATAATTAATCTCAAAAATGCAAAACGCATAAAAAGAAAGATTGAAACACACTACAGAAGTTTAAATATCTGAAGACATTTTAAAATGTAAGACAATGGCATCATAAACTTTGAAAAATTGTTACAGCGAACCAACAAAGTAAGCACCACCAAATCAAGAATAGCAATGCACAGTGAAAAATATACAAGAACGGAATTTTTAGGGCGTGAATATGTTTGCTGACTTATAAAAATGTTCTAAATTTTCTATTTGATCTGTTTTCTATTTTGACATGTCATTTTTTGTCCAGCCCATATATATGTTTATCATTCTGCTATAATCATTGCAATTTCGAGAGTGAATCCTGCATTTAAATGCAGATGTCACAAAACTTTGCAGCATGCATGTGGCCGTTGGTCCTCTAAGCAGCAATAAAAACAAAACTTTTATTCAAATTATGCATTATTAATAATTATTTATAGAAAGTGTACAGAGTGATCCCTTAATAATCACTAAAAGGTCACTCGCTTTAGTTCATCACAATCTCAGAGACTTCTGCTGCACTCTTGCAAAAACTTATAACCAATTATAACCAATGATGCTGACTGCTCTTAATTACATAATTCTCTATATTTTATTTGTTATATGAGATGATTTGTGAGCATGCAGAACACTAAACAAAAACTCTGGCGTTTTGAGCAGTATTGAGTGGACTCTGAATAACAAGAAAGATGTGTTTTGTGCTAACAGCCATTGATAAGTCTGCCATCTACTACTGGATAAACTGCAGCTATAATCATAGGTTCTCTTTAGGTTGCTACAAAAATCTCCCAATGTTCTGGGAAGGTTATTTTATGGTTATAAAAAATAAAGCCTAAAATGATCCATTAGAGAACGTTGTGTATAGGTTATATTTAGGTTATTAACTGCAACATTCTAGGTTAGCTTTTGCTTACAAAAAAGAACAAATAGTGAATTTGGTTCTCCAAAAAGAAAAATAAATAGCCAACTGAAAGGGAACCATATGGGAATGTTCTGTGTTTGCTGGGTCACTGACACCTTTGGTTTACTTAGTTGAGCTTTTAAAAAGACACTTGTTATCAGTTTTATGGCACTAGCACTATTGGATGAAAGCAAAACTTGAAATGAATTGAGCTAAATAATAACTGGCATTTAAATGATAATTTTGCTACAGTTTTTGCTTGGACATGTTAAACAGATCTAATCAATTTGGGTAATACAATTTCATTTTAATTTTGCAACTTATAAAGCATTAAAATATGTTTTTAATTCACATATTAAAACTAGTGTAGAAGATGGCAAATGTAAATGATATAATTGAATTTTCATTTTGCACTAAATGTTGCACATATGTATGGGAAAATGTCAATTTAAATACAGAAATGCATTGCCATTTTACATGTTGCATTGTCATTTTGCATATTACATTTCAAAATGAATTTTGCTACCCATGCTTCCATAGAGGTAAGGCTGTTCTCGGCGGGTTCATGAGCGCTGAACAGCCGCTGACGCCTTAAAGCTCACATCTTCGAAAACGTCAAAGCAAATGTTCAAATAGGTGCTATCTTATTAAATAAAACACATATTTGAAGTCTAAACAACTGCATTCTCGCCTGAATACTCTTAATACTACACTCTAAAAAATGCTGGGTTGTTTCAACCCAACTCTGGGTCAAATATGGACTAACCCAACCATTGGGTTAAATTTTTACCTTAAATTTTTAACCCAAAAGTTGGGTTAGTCCATATTTGACCCAAAGTTGGGTTGAAACAACCCAGCATTTTTTAGAGTGTACATTCCGTGACACAACATATGGTGGTATTTGTAAAACTATAGTGGGTTTGATCGTCAGGAGGGATACAAAGGGTGCAGTTCACGTGGCGATGATAGCAGAATCATGGCTGGAGAGACCTCTTAGCCAATTAAAGTAAGAACCATTTGTAATTGTTGTAAATAAGACAATTATAGCACATTTTATTTTTTATTTTTGACATTTTATTGACACTTAAATCAAGCACATACAACTTTATATATATATATATTTATTTATTTATTTATTGCTTTATGCTTTTTCCAAACAACAATTTACACATTTAGTATTACTAAAAAACGTTTTTACAGTAAAATGCTTTAACTTTCTGAGTAAAACTTCTCCAATCCCTCCCAAAGGTACTTACACCATATTACCACTAGGACCAGTAAATTGTAATGTATAAAAAAGTAATTTTATTGTAATTTGTATTTTGCGTGTTCAGTATTTGTAATTATAACTGGCATGAAAAGTATGCCAAAAAAAAGTGTATATCAACTTGTTTCAGCTTCAGTGCCGGTGGGTTCATATTTTGCTCTGGTGTTTAGTGGCTTTCACCTGTGATTAAGAGATTGAACAGTGAGATGAAATCACATGTTTATTTTGTGTGTAAAACATTCTGTGATTATTACCTGTAACATCTCACCTGTGTGTGCAGAGAGCTGTAGGTCACCTCGTCCTCCACAGATACCGGACTGCTCTGGAGATATGAAAGATGATTAAGAAGAACACTGACAGTTAGATTAATGTTATTGCATTATGGAACAACTGAGATCAGATATTCTTTGAACGTACTGCTTTAGTTTTAGGTCGTACTGTCACAGAAGTGTAAGTCACATCATTCTCTGCAGCCTCTGAAGATGAACTGGCACCATTTCCCTGTGCATAAACACATCTGATGCTCTAAATCTCTCAGGTATGAGTTTTTAACTCAAATTGTTTGTTAATTCAGACTTACTGTGTCACTGGCTCTGTCAGTGCTCACATTGGTATCATTTCTGTCTGTTAGTGAGAGAACAAATGAAATTATCATTCGGTCAGTTGGAAACAGGATTCAGGATTCTTTGAAGAATAGAAAGTTCAAATGAACAGCATTTATTTGAAAAAGAAATCCTTTTTAAGCATTATAAACGTCATTACTGTCACTTCTGATCAATTTAATGCATCCTTGCTAAATAATTATTAATGGAATCTGTCTTATAATAAGAAAAGTCAGCAGTACTGACTATGCTTCTTTCTCAGTATTACAGCTGACACGATAATCACCATCAGCAGCACAACCGCTGGGATCCACACCTCCAGATATCCATAATGCCTGTGATGATGAACAATACAAAAGATTCAGAGATCAGCCTGTAATGTGTCCAAAAATATAATGTGATCATAATTGAAATATACTTGTCATAGAGTATATATGAGTCATATATGCATACACACACACTGCATCACTGTTACTGCAGTCATGATCTTAAAAATAGTACTTCTGCAGAATCTATATTTACCTTGGTCCATTTTTAGAAGCGGATTTTCAAATTGTATTGCTAGTTGTAGTGAACACGTCACGCAGTCACAAAAATATCACTTCCTCAGTCACACACACACGTCATTTAGCATTGTAATTTATGAGGAATTAGTATTTTTCAGTTGAATGTTAAAATGCATGTTTGAACTGTGAGATGAAGCTGCTCTGTCACATCCAGTGTTATTCCTTCAATCTCCACAGCACACCAATAAGCTCCAGTGTCTTCATACTGCAGGTTTCTCATAGTCACAGTAAAGAAACTGATCTGGATGATCAAGTACTGACACTTTTCCTTTGGTTTCATTAGCATATGCCAGAATAGAGCAGTAATTGTATGCTGCTTTCGCATGAAAGCACCAGTACTACTTGTGTTCAGTGTATTTCCTGTCATAATGACATGGAATAATGAGTGATCCTCCAGTCTGAACTGTTAACAATCTGCATTCAGAACCTGGATAAAAAAAAAAGACCAACTTTTGAGTTTGAGTACTTTGTCAATGTTAATAATAGAAGATGCATGTATACATGCTACACTTTTTAGCTCAATTACTTTCTTTTCTTTTAGTATTTAAGTTCATAACTTATACAAGTTATCAATGCAAAACATGCACTTGGACTTTTTTTTTAAATCAAGATTTTAGGTCAAATTTAAAGGGGTCATATGATGCGATTTCAATTTTTCCTTTCTCTTTGGAGTGTTACAAGCTCTTGGTGCATAAAGAAGATCTGTAAAGTTGCAAAGACTCAAAACCAAAGAGA